AGTCCATCCAAGTGGGATGGGCCCAGAGCAAGACCCCAAAGCCTGCCTCAAGTCTAGAGCATTTTCCAGTGGGGACCCACAGAAAAGGGTCAGAAACAACCAGACAAGCCTGGAAGGAAAAGAGCAAAATCAAAATCAAGATAAAAGCTGCCATTGTCACCTCCCCACGGGTCTCACCCACATCTGTGTCACCCAGTCCATGACCAAAAGACAAGTGCAGTTTCTTTACGTGTCTCTAGGCTCCATGTGCCTCCTCCAGGTCTCCTTCTGGCTCCATCCTTCTTCCTTCCTCAGTCTCCTCTTCAGCTTCTTCTCTCCCTGCTTAGCTCCACCCTCCATTTGTGTGGGGCAGGGAACCTGGAACCTCCCCCTTTCCTGGGGACCACCCTGTTACAGTATGTGAAGGGAACAGTTTTTAATTTTAGGAAAACAAATCTTATGTAGTAGACAAAGGAATGAAGATGACATCAAGTAAACAGTAGTTTAAAGAGATTAATGAGGCTCTTAGATAATTTAGAACTAAATGAGGAAACGTTATTTTTCTAAGCTTGTTCTAGAAATTAACAGAGTGGGAGTCTCCTTGGTGGCGCAAGCATTGTGAAGCTATCCGCAGCCACTGCAGCACAAGTTCAAGGCCAGGGAGCTACCCACATGGCACAGCAGACCTCTCCTGTCTCGCCTGCTGCTCCCCTCAGTCAGTCTGTTCTGTTTCCCACTCTGTCTCTGGCGAATCCTCTCACTGCCCTCCCCGCCCCCACACCTCTTACCTGTATTCCAGTTCTTGCATGCATAAATAAATCTTTAAAAAAAGAGAAATTATGGGCCTCCCTGGTGGTGCAGTGGGTTGAGCAGTGCGTTGTGAAGCTGTCTGCAGTCTCTGCAGCGCTGGTTCTATCCCCACCAGCTGGCAAGAATCCCACATGGTGTGGCAGACCTTTCCTATCGCGCCCGCTGCTCCCCTCAGCAATGTATTTCTGTTGTCTGCCTGTTCTGCTCCTGCTCTGTCTCTGGTGAATCCTCTCACTCTTCTGTGACTCTGGCCTGTACCCCAGCTCTTGTATAAAAATAAATAGATCTTTAAAAAATAAATAAATAAAAAAGAGAAATTAATGGTGACCTAGAACATTTAGAGTATCTTTTATCACAGGATCAGTTTCCCTTTTCTTTACTTCATTTCTTTTGCCTCCCCACTTTTTTCTCTCCCATTTTTCTATTTTTTTTTTTAAGATTTATTTTACTTATTTGTGCATACAAGAAGTAGAGTGTAGGCCAGAAGTGCAGGGGGTGAGAGGATTTACCAGAGACAGAGTGGGGAGCAGAACAGGCAGATCTACTGAAATAAACTGCTGAAGGGAGCAGCGGGCGAGACAGGAGAGGTCTGCTGTGTCATGTGGGTCATCTCCCTGGCTGGGGATCAAACTCATGCTGCAGTGGCTGGAATGATAGCTTGACAGTGCTGAGGCTTTACCCCTGTACCGCCAGGGAGGCCCCTCCTATTTGGAATTGCCACTGACATCTACAGACATTTCAGTGCTAGCTGTTAGATTTAAGCCTAAATCTCGGTGGCTTACAAAATAGAAGTTATCCCTCAGAGAAGTCCGAAAGGATTGGGCAGACTTTCAGGGACCCTGACTCCTTTCATTTTTATGGTCCCACTTCCTTTTGCAGCCACAGAACTCTCTCTATTCAACTGGAGGAATGGAGATCCATTAAAGGACCAAATTGTGATTCAAACAGGTTGGTTTTCAAGCACCAGCACCACAAGTGAAACGCATCACTTTGGTCATGTTCCATTAGTTAGTGCTCAGTCACACCTAATTGCAAGAGACTGGTCATTGGAGTCTAGCTGTGGCTCTGAGAGAGGAGAAATAGGGTTGGTACACAACTAGCCTGCCTCTGCCACAAAATCCAGGTTATCCCAACAATAGATAATCATGACTAGAGTACTTTCTCACTTAATCCTTGTAATAATCTGATGGAATGGAATATTAGTATATCCAATTTAGTAGCCAACATATTTGGCTACAGTCACATAGTTTTGCATGACAAACCAAGATTTGTACCCAATTCTAACTTCAATGCCCACAGCATCATGCCAGTTTGCCAACAAAATCATAATGTTGAAGTGAGATTATACTGATAGTATTATGATTAAATTTCAAAGATCATGTAACTGCTGCATCATCAATAGAATCCATTCTTTGTGATGTTATTTCTAATTGGAATAATGGACTTATGCTTATTTATCTGAACTCTTTCCCAATTCTACAGCAATAGGTCTGTGGAGATTATTGCAGTTTCTGGTACAGGAACGGAAGACTACTCATTGTCTCATCTATGTCTCGTTAGTAGCAACATAGTAGCACACACCTGCATTTTCCAGGTGAACACCTTTATACCTCGCACTTTTAAAAGGCATTTTAAACATGTAGATTCATGTTTAGCTTCTCAACCCTTTGAACAGCAGATCAAATATACCTATGGGCAAATAAATAGCTAAGTTGCTCATGAAAAATGGTGTTAAGCATAATATATATGTAGTACAAATGACATTACATATTACTTCATATATGTATTACTTCATTTAATCCCTGACACTACCAATGAGTTAAGTGTTATCACCAACCTTTTTATTGATATGGAAATCAAGGCACAGATGGTTAAGCAATTTAACTGAGGGAACGGAGTTGAGCAGTTAAAAAAAATAAAACAGGTCAGGCTACTGATGAAAGTCTCCAGTAATTTTCCCAGAGTTCCCGCTCATAGGTCCTATATCTTCTTTGTTTTGCCATTATCCTTGCCTTATATTATTTCTACTCCTCAAAATACACATTACACCTTTATTACATGAACATGTTGAGTATGTAAAATCCAAAAGCTCCTATTGTTTCACAAAAAAAAAATGCCTTGCTGTTTCAAATATTTGGAAAAACCTAATTTAGTTGATTTTGCAAGTACATCTACAAATTTATGCAGACAAATCTTCACTTCCTCTAAAACAAAATGCATGTATTCTAGCAAAACATATATTTGAGGAATTAAAGAAACATCAATTTCCATTTTAAGAAAGACGTAATGTCTTCTGGCAAATTTCTGATGCCTAGCACAAAACTGGATGCAACTATTGTTTAAAATGAAAGCTTTTGAGATATTAGTCACTTTAAGTGAGTCACTCCCTAAGAGAATTTGCTTGGGAGTCAGAGAAAGGTGACTTAAGTATCTCAGAAATAAAACTCCAATCAATTTGTTCATCCGTTCAGCCTACTATGAATATGTGATGTTGCAGAAACTTCGGGGAAATTAAAAAACACTCAAATTGTACTGCCCACTGGAAACTCTTCCAGGTATACTTTACTATTTAAATGATTGCTGTAATTTCAGGCAATTGTTAACTGGTAGAACAGTCTTGTGGCACAGGCATTGTCTACATCATACAAGGTAACTGAAGACAGAAGAATCATTTCAAGGGTCTGATACTCAGAAACCTCTACAGAACTTGAACTCGAAAGGCTCTTTTCTCAGCTATGCTAGGCAGCCCTTGGTAGAAAAATCAGCGAGGCCAAGGTGGAGTTCACACAAGGGTAGAAATAAAGAGTTCTCACTGCAATCTATAAATTCTGATGACTTTTGCAAATCGTTTTGCAGATCATCCGAATAGTAATCTTTTCTAAGCTCTACCACCTTTAAAAGGAGAGAGGGCAGAGGTATTTTACACTATGAATTATCTTTGTGAACTTCCTTAAATTGACTGGGTGGAGGCCCTGCCGTTTTAGGTTGGCGCCTTTTGCTTGGCACCTGCAATTTCCGCCCTGCTTAGCCCTCGTGCAGGCTCGGGGTCCCTGTGGGTCATCGAGGGGCCTGGGAACTACTGCGTCCTTCAAGCCTCCCAAGAGAAAAAGGGTAATGTTCTTTACGCTTAAATCACTGCAGCAGGTCTTTAAGTGAAAGCTTTATTTGGATACAAAAATCTAACGTTTGAGAAGCGAGTCAGCACGTTCAACCTCTGTCCAGGGCCTCCCACCAAGTCAAGGCTCCCCGACGACCTCCAGCCCTCGGTCTGCGCAGGCTGCCCTTCCCCGGGGAGCTGGCTCTGCCCCCCAGGCCTCACCTACCGCCAGCTCCGCCCGCCCGACCCACCTCACCCCCACTTCGCGCCCACCCATTGTCCCCTTAGCAGCTGTCACAGCGCGGATCCCCGGCTCCCATTGGGAAGCCTCCCCGTCACTCAGCCCCAGTCTGCGGCAGGACGCCTCGTTCTCTATTCCCAGCCTTAAAAGGTTTGAGGTGCCCGCAGGTAAAGTCGCCGCGGAGGACGTGGGGGGCCGCGCGCCCAGGTCGGCCCCGCCCGGCGAGGGGGACCCGCCGGTTGGGGGGGGCAGCGCGCGACACCGCCCCTCCCGAGCCGCCGGACCGCGCCCTGCCCGCTCCCCCCGGGTCCGGATCACAAAGCCCGGGCAGCCGAGCCGCTCCCGTAACCAGCCCCGGGCGGCCCCGAGGGCAGGCGCCGCCGCGAAGCACGGAGGGCGGGGCGGGGCGGGGCGGGGCGGGCCGGGCCGCGGGGAGGGGTGGGGGAAATGACAAAGGCCCCGGATGTTGGCGAACCGGAGCCCCTTCTAGAGGGAGTGACTGGCGCAGGCGCAGAAGAGCCGCACGAAAAGCTAAGGTGGGGGTGGGGCGGTTCCTTCTCGCTGGTTCAGAGGAAGGGCGAGCCCGCGGAGGTCGCGAGGGGAGGGTTGCTGAGCATCCAGAGGGAGGGCGAGCTGGTGGGGTCGTGGGGGGCTTCCTGCCCAGGCGCACTCGGGAGCGGAGTAGACTGGTTGGAAGCCGAGCGGGTGGGGAGTGTCGGTAGCGGGAGAGGACGCGCGCTCCTACGCTCGCCCTCTAGCGCGGGCGGGCGGGACGCGCGCGGTAGGGAGCGGCGGTTGCGCTGGGCCCCCGGAGCTGTGGGCACCAATCAACGGTTGCCATAGCAGCGTTTGACGTCATCGTGCGTGTGGTGCCCCTGCTGCCGGGGCTGGTGATTGGAGGAAACCCCGTGTCTGCGGAGCGGCTGTAGCCTGTGAGCAGCGAGATCCAGGGACAGAGTCTCAGCCTCGCCGCTGCCGCCGCCGCCCAGAGCCTGCTGAGCCTCGGTCCTCGGTCCGCCACCCACTCCGGACACAGGTAGGGGGCCGCCGCCTCGCCCCGGCCTGCCTGTCCCGGGCCGGCCCTCCGAGAGCGCGGGGCCGGCCCCGCTCCGCGGCCCCGCGGCCCCGCTCGCCCCTCGGCGGCGGCGCCGGGCTGAGGCGGAGTCTCCTCAGGAGACGGGCGGCGGCTTCTCTTCCGCTGGGCTCGGGCGGGCGGCTCGCGGCTGCCCCGGGCCACTGCTTCCGGGCCGAGGGCTCGGGCCCCGGGCGGCGCTCGCCCCGGCCGCGGGAGTGCGAGGGCGCCCGCCCGCGAGACCCCGCCGCGATCGCCGCCCGCGCCCCGGCGCCCTCGCCGCCCCGCACCCCGCTTCCGCCCGAGATAATGGCTCGGCGGCCGCGGGCATTGCAGTGGCGCAGGTGAGGCCGCCCCCTCCCCGCGGCTCCCCCTCCCCCTGCCGCGCCCGCCCGCTCCCCGCGCAGCCTCCGCGCCCCGCGCTGCGGCGGCGGCTCCCAGCCCCCCGGGCGGCGGCGCGGCTGAGGGCGGGCCCGGGGCCGCGGGCTGAGGTCGCCACCGAGCGCCCGCCAGGTAGCCCGGGCGAGGCCGCGCCGTGGCGCGCGGAGGGCGAGCCTCGGGGTGGGGCGCGCCGGGACCGAGGGCCGATTTCCTGGGTTCCGCGGAGGGGCAGGACTGGACTTCCCCGGGCGGGTGGGGGATGGGGCGGGCCGGGCCGCGTCTCCGGAGGGCGGGGGGGCGCCGACCGTCGGGAGGGCGGGGGCCGGGGCCGGCGATCCGCGCCCGCCGGGCCGCCGCCGCTCCCGGCCCTGGTCGCCCGCGGGTGGGGGCGCCGGAGCGTAACAGCCGGCGGGGCCCGCGGGCCTGGGTGTGGCCCCGGCCCCCTCCCCCGCCGCAGCTGTCGGGCCCCTCAGGACCCGACGGGCCCCGCGCCCGCGGTCCGGTGGCGGCGCGGCGCGGGCGGGAGAGTGGGGTGTGTCCGCGGCCTGGCGGGTCGAGGTTCCGCTTCTGCGGGCGGCGCTGGCGTCCCAGCCCCCGGGGCGGGCGGGCGCGCTGCTGCCTCCCCCCTTCCCGCGGCTCGGGCGGGGGCGCGGGGCTCCTCCCTCGCGCTCTGGTGGGGGGAATTAACACTCGGCAGTAGGCTGGGCTCCTTGACACAGATCCGCCATGACAAAGGGAGAGCGGGGACTAGAGCGGAGGCACCAGCTTGGGCGGAGCCGGGGGGGGGGGATTGCGGAAAGCGCGGACGGAAGGGTTTGCGCTGCGGAGGCCCCGTCTGCGGCTTCCCCGCGCCCGCCCGGCGGCTCGCGCCGGCGAAGGGTTAAATGGGTGCGGCGACTGCTCTCCGCAGTGTGGAGGCGAGGCCTCGAGCGCTGGCCGCGCCGTGAGAAACCCGGTCCACTCCCCAGCACCCGAGGAGTTGGGGAGAAAACCTTTGTGCCGGTTTGAGATCATTTTTTTCTGAAGCGGCATTAACCAGTGAGCGGTTTTGCGTTCCAAGGGGACGAATAAGTAATTTCGGGAACGGGGTGTGGGGGGAAGGGCTCTGCCATCGCAAATTTTAAATCGTTTTCTTAGCATTGGAACAGTGTACGTCAGATCCAGTGTACGTCAGATCCAAGCTAGTTGATTATTTGTTGAAATACCGGGAATTTGTGCAGGTTTTTTTTTTTTTTAATATCTGTATTGGGTCTCCTTGGAAGGTAGAAGATATTGGGGAGTTACTTCCCACAATGCGTGACTTTTATTCACCTTTTTATAGTCGACTAAATACTGAACATTTTTCTTTAAAGTCATTTCTTCGTAGGGTTACGTTATGATTTAGTCATTTTCCTGTGTTGTTTTAGCACCTTTTCGAAAGGATGTTTTTAAAGAAAAGAGAATTTGTTAATATTAGCCATAACTGACCTAACAGTTTCAGGTGTATTATATGAATAATTGATTAGATGCTTGAATTAGGGGGCTTTAGAGTGAAAGAAAATTAGGTGGTTAGTTATAGTAAAGGGCAACTTGATTGATAATATTGATTTTGACTAGTAGAAACGAATTGCAGTGAAATCTACCTTTAAATTGGAACGTGACATGGAAAACATTTGTCACGCTTAATATGTTCATTTTAGTGCTCAGAGAAAGTAAGAGTGGAAGTTCCAGAACTCACAGATACATTTTGCATTTGCCAAAGTACAGATAAGGAGACCTCAGGGTCAGATACTCAGATATTGGTCCTAGCTTGTGATTTTATGTTGAAAATATCTTAGAACAAATAGTTTATAGTTCTTTCTCCTAGAAAATTGTCATGCTATTAACTGGCAAAGGTAACAAAGATTTAATCGAGTAAAATCAACTAAAACTTAAGTTCTCCTGATGAGAGTTGGTCTTAAGAGAGACCTCAATTAAATTAATGTGAATCATGATTCTGGAGGTATGAAATCTTGTAGGCAGTGTTTCAGTAAAGAAAAACTTTAATTTTGGATTACTGAGTGATACTGGAAGCTGGAGTTGTGAGATTATTGGCAAAGTAAGTTGAGGATTTTTTTAAGGCACCATCTTGATAGGAGTTTTATGTGAAATTAGGATTTTCTAAAACAAATATGAGGTAATGTGATTTTAGTTTTGCTAAACTGATGCTGATGACTTTAAATTTACCCTCAGTATGCTAAGTATGCCTATTTTTTCTCCCAATTCTGATCATCCTTTCATAAACCTGCATTTTGATTTCTCACAGGAAGACTCTTACATGGGCGATTAGGTTTGAGGTTCAGCTTATTTACAGGTATACTCTGAGTCTGTTTTGATGAAAAAATACCTAAACACTATTTTTCCCCCTGCAGAACATCCAATCATGGATAAAAATGAGCTGGTGCAGAAGGCCAAACTGGCCGAGCAGGCTGAGCGATATGACGACATGGCAGCCTGCATGAAGTCTGTAACTGAGCAAGGAGCTGAATTATCCAATGAGGAGAGGAATCTTCTCTCAGTTGCTTATAAAAATGTTGTAGGAGCCCGTAGGTCATCTTGGAGGGTCGTCTCAAGTATTGAGCAAAAGACGGAAGGTGCTGAGAAAAAGCAGCAGATGGCTCGAGAATACAGAGAGAAAATTGAAACTGAGCTAAGAGATATCTGCAATGATGTACTGGTAAGAATGAAATATTTGATCTAGCTTTACTATAAATTCCTCTAGGAAAATATTCTGTTATTCTCAACTTTTCCTTTAATTTTCCTTTTTCTCTTAAAAAGTGTGTGTTCTAAATTTCAATGTCAATGCTAAAAGATGTTATAATTAATCATACTTTGTATAAGTGCAATAATGATCATCAGTCAGATAAGAAAGGCTAAAAATATTTTGTACTAAAAGTCTAAAAGAAGATTAATAGTATTACAGTTTTGGTTAGAATATTTGTAGTTCTAGAGCTAATTTTCTTAAATGTACATGTTGTAAATGTACATGTAAGGATACAGGAATTCTATATATTTTGTTTTATGTAAGAGAGATACTAACAAGAAACTCAATATAGACATAATACTCTTTCCTGGACTGGCCACTATATTGTTAATGTCATGAATCAGAAAACTCACTTCACATTTGCCTTTGCTCTTCCTGCATTTAAGTGTTGGAAATCAACTGTTAATACTAACAAACACAGTAAAAGGTTATGAGTAATTTAAGGGAGTTTAAATCTGAGGAAAAAGGGTAGATCCAACCATTTAGCATATAACATCCTAGGTATATTATTACTTGACATTTTAGTGAACTGGGAGTTTTTGAAATACTTAAAGTGATTTGCTAAATGACTATCCTTATAGGATTTCAGATTATACATTGGGTCTCAATATGGGACCAGGACTCTGGTCTCTAGATAGGCAGTATCCCAGTTTCTCAGAACAGATGTTACTGATTCTGATACTCAGTATGGAAATACAGATTTCTCAGTACGGAAATCCAAATTTCTCAGGACAGGTATTACTGATTCTGGTACTTAGTGTGAGAATCCAAATGGTTCAAATTACTATTTGAACCTTGTTCATGGAAGAACTGTAATGAGCAGTATAGCATTATTTCTGGTGTGGTTATGGATTTGGAATTTTTATTAAAGTTGTGATGGTATTATGATTGATTGCTTTGCACTAGTCTTTAGTTACTAAATGGAACAGCTTCAATACTTGTTGTAGTTTTCTCAAATAGTATTTTTTTCCCCAGGTTATCTTTTTAAAGATCAGTAATTTTTTTATCTTACTGTGGGCCCCCAGAACCTTGTTAGCTGCTTGGATGCATTTTTTTGTTTATTTGAAAACAGCCATCATTTCTAATAGAAGGAAGGTGTTCCATACTTTTGTTTCTAAATGGCAAATGCTTAGCTTGTGACTTTCGAAGATAATGAGAATCATTAAAATTTGGACGTCTTGTTTTTCTATAATAAAAAAAAATCTCTTGGTCCGTCCCCCTTCCACCAACCCCCCCCCCCCCCCCCCCCCGCTCCGCCCCCTGCTGTGCTGACTAGTACCTATATACTGAATTTTATACCTATATACTGATGGTTTCATTCAATTTTTAACCTGTTATTTTCATTCTGGTTTCTTTACAAGTTATAATTTCCCTTAACACAATCAATTTTAAGAATAAGGGGAGAGGGGTGGTAACATTTTCTAACTTTTTTGCTATCCCTGGTAGGTATTTGCATGTTTTCCACACACGAAATATAAGCTCTTGTCATTTTGAGAATTTTTCCTAGGAAAACAGTGTGGTTTTGTTTCCCTATCAAGAAAGGGAAAAAAACAATTCCATCTAACAGTGGATGAGAATAACTAGATAGGCTAGCCTCTCTGTTAATAGGTTGTCAGAGGGGGTTATTCCTGGTCACTACCCATGTTCAGAACAGCACAAAGTCTAAATGAAACTTTCATTTTATACAGATAAAAAGTTCAGTGTCTTTACCATACAAGTGGCTCAGGAAACTCTAAAACAAAAAGCACTGTTACTTTCTTTCCTTGGTTCTATACTAACATTGGTAACTACGGTAGGCTAATATATAGTCTATACATAGTGCTTGTTAAATACATTAACAAAAGGGCTTCTTTTGGAAAAAAGGATAACAAGGTTAGCAACACTACTAATTTTCCAGGGCCTTTTCTATTTAAATGTGGGGAAATTCAGTATTTTATAATAATGTGGCTCTTTATAAGTGAGCTTTTCTTTTTTTTCCCGAAGAGGTTATGTTGACTCTGGAAGCATAAAATCTCTTTTCCACTTTTCAGTAAAAAGGAAGAATAAAATAAGCAAAATTTACATTTCTCCTAGAGAAAAAAAGCAACTGTTACACTTGATTAGTGAAAGTACTCTTTATATTTTAAGATCTTGTATGATTAAAATATCAATTGTAATTTTTTTGTTTAGTTTTTTCTGGCTTTGATTTTTTTTTTTTCCCCCTAAGAAAAATAAGCAGGTAATCTTTCAGAGTTAATGTTATTTACTAGTGGCATCATTGATGAATTAGACCTAATTGTTCTGTTGAGCACATGTATCATACTGGCAAGAAAAGATCCTCTTACCACAAGAAAGCTAACCTCCGGAGTTCTAAGTTTTCCTAATACTAAATGGTTATTACCATTCTGGTTGTATGTACTTTTCAAGTCTTTATACCATTTACTGAGTGGAGAAATAGTAGGAATTGTGTTATTTTGTATGAGTTACTGAGTATTACTATGGTAAAGGCTTGCTGGCATATTCACAACATGGACTTTTCATTATGCAAAAGAACTTGATGATCCTCTCATCCTGTAATGTTAATTTGAAATTGTGATATATAAATTAACGCATTCTGCCTTTCCTGCCACACCTTAGACCAGAAGCTCTATTGGTAATGGGACCAGGGACTCAGCATTAGAGATCTTCAACACCTACATAAACATAGGAAGTCAAAAGTTGGATAATTTTGAACATGATGAATTGAAACACAAAATGAGAAAATACATTCTAGAAAACCAAATTTAAACTCAAAAGAAGAAAGTTGTGGTGTAGAAAGAGCGCTGGGTTTTGAGTCAAACCAACTTTTTTACCATTCCTGACCCAAGGAAATCACTTTCCATTTGGGAAAACTAAGCTCAGTTAAATGGCATAATATCCACCCCATAGGAGTGCTGTGGAGATGAGAATCAGGTAAAACACCTTGGCTACTTTCTGTGCCCTGTTGATCTCATTTTTGGGTTCTTTTTAAAAGTATAGTAGCAACAGTACAAGCCTGCCTGTAATAGTACAGGGATCTCAAGTCTGTAGATGTGATTTAAATGATCCTGAAAGCTTTTAAAATAGTATTTTTCTGGGGCAGAAGGTCAATACTAGCCAACAAATTTTGTTTAAAAATGTGAAAGTTACTGGTATAGAGAGTGGCTTCCTTCCTTAGTTGAGGCAAGTAAAGTAGTAAAGTCCTGAGTTCCACATTTGTAGCAGTTGGCAGCAGTAGTTGAGTAATAGTGGTTCAGTTAACGTCACAGTTTCATTTACTTACGCTTCTGTTTGCTCAGGGCAGTTTTGAGGTGTGGTTGCTGGGTACTGATTCTCATCTTGAGCCCACATAACTACCATTAAACAGCAAGGTAGGAAACCAGGCAGTTTTTAGGTCATCCTTCCTGGTCTGAATATATTAATGTCTGCTTCAGGCTTTAACAACTACTGTATAGTTTTAAGCAGAAAATTACTAGTCAACTCATATATTGGAATAGGGCTTTTCATATTTATTTTTTTAAGATTTATTTTTATTTATGCATAGAAGAACTGGGGTATAGGCCAGAGGTTGGGGAGCAGTGAGAGGATTCACCAGAGACAGTGGGGAGCAGAACAGGGAGATCTACTGAAATACGCTGCTCCAGCAATGGGCCAGACAGGAGAGGTCTGCTGTGCCATGTGGGGTAGCTCCCTGGCTGGGGATTGAATTCATGTTGCAGTGGCTGGCCATAGCTTGATAGCCACTGAGACTTTAATCACTCTGCCACCAGTGAGGGCATGAGGGCTTTGTAAAAGAATTCTGCAGTGTTGCCACCCGTTGTTAACTGCTTCATATGTTTTTGTCAAATATATTTTTTAGTATATTTCAAAGTACAAAGAACTTCCCTTCAAGAAAATATGTTGGATAGACTCTTATTTGTAATAATAAAATGTAATGATTTTTTTTTTTTTTAGATTTATTTATTTATGCATACAAGAGCTGGGGCACAGGCCAGAGATGCGTTCGTGAGAGGACTCACCAGAGACAGAGTGGGGTACAAAACAGGCAGACTGACTGAAATACCCTGTTGAGGGGAGCAGTGGGTGAGTCAGGAGAGGTCTGCCTGGCCATGTGGGTTACTCTCTGGCTGGCTGGGGATCAAACTCAGGGGTGCTGCAGAGGCTGCGGATTGCTTCATAGTGCGGTGCTTAACCCCTTGCGCCACTGGGGAGGCCCACAGTAGTGATTTTTAAGAGTTTTCGTGTAAGCATTAAGTGTGCGTGCTGAGGTATTTTGTACAATTGGAAAGCCTTGAGTTCTGTGAAGTGGTAATGATGAAATAAAGGAATGAGAAATTAGGTGTTTGCTATTTGGTGGGAAGGGCAAGAATAACCAATAACTTGATCAAGAGCACAGGTTACCAGGTTTTTAGGGGTTTTCTTTTTTTTTTTTTTTTTTTTTTTTTGATACCCCAGTACTTAAAAATGGGGTCCTTCCTACCTTTTCTAGTAAGAAATACAGATGAGCTGTGTTGTGAATATAGTTAGAAGTGAGCTAGGGAAAGAGTGAAAGATTTGAAATTGGAATTAGATTGAGAAACTTGAGTAAAGATCAGAGTAAAAATTAGATTGAGAAACTTGAGTAAAAATCAACACATGATCCATTGACTAGCAGAGGCATTGAATTAAAAAGGGGGGGGATATGCTTTTAGATTTGTAATAGCTAACAGTGAGTAGTTTTGCTTTTCCTTTTTTTCTCTTAAGAGCAGCCAACTATATCAGTAAGGAGATCCTGTTGGAAACCAGTGGTATAGAAGTATCCTAGATAGTTGGTTAATGAGAAGTAAGGTATGTGATCAGACTTGTTTTAAACATTTATTTTGAATTAAAATGTGTATGTATGTTCATTTGCTCATCTCCGGTCCAGAATCCTTCTA